ACCCAAGTATTAGAGAGAGACATACCTATGTAGATAGATCTACAAAAAAATATCCTCAGCTGTGCTACAGGGAAAATTAATAATTTAATTTCTGTTTAGTAATAATGAGACATGATAAATAGACAGTCTTTTCTAAAACATAGCTTTAATTAGAAAAAAACACGTTTCAATGCTTATTGCAGTTTAACTGACTAACAATAAAAAATGTTCGAAACATTTCCTTTGCAAAAACTAACTTTAAAAGAAAATGACTTAACATAAACATATTAAGTCGTTAAAATATTCCATTAATGTCTTTATTTCGTCATTCATTGCAATTAATTCCACGAAACAAGCTTTTACATCGTCATTACGTGGAAGCACCCGAAACAATCGGATATGTAAAGCAGAATTCATTCAACAACACTTCACGAAAACATACGTAACTTATGCGTGTTCCATGTCTATAATCTTGTTCGTCATTCATCGCAGTACCAAGTTAACTGTGGTAGTTGTGGCGCTAGTGTCGTTTAATGGAAGGTTTCTTCTATCTTGAAAATGGTGAATACAAAAAAATGTTTCTAAATAGTCGGTTTTTCACCTTAATAAAACGAAGCATTCACGCGCTTTTTCTACTTTGTCAAATGCAACAAATTATATTATATATTATATTTTTATTTGAAAAATATTGGATTCCCCAACTCATATTATCACATAAAATGTTATTTGCTGAGGCGTTTCCTTCTTTTGGTTCCTTCAGATTTCGTAATTTTTGTAATTTTTTTAGCTTCTTAGAATTGGCATTTACCTTCATCCCGTGACCATAATGATGTTTTGTTTAACACTGAAAATCACTCCCTTTTCTTCGAAACAACATTGCTATATATTTTGTCCTGTTGAATTAGTTCCAATTTCCACCACCTGAACAGCAAAGTTTGTCGTGTAAATCAGCTTGTTTGTCATGCAGTGTCTAAGTATGCTCTCACCGCGGTGACTTCCATACTAAGTGATGTATCAACATACTGCTTCTGTTATGCCATTCATTATTTGTTAATGTAGGCTTTTAAATATCTGTCAGACTCAGTGGCTCAGTCATTGCTGGTTTCATGATTCTACTTAGAATATTTTTTGCAGTGTTAGGATCTAAACTAAATGTTATAATTTCTTAAGTTAATTTATATTCCAGTGGTTAAGAAGGTCGGTGAAGTTATGAGTTGAGGATTGGTTTAATGATTTAAGTATGGGAGAGCCATGCTTCGGCACGGCCTCCGGTAGGAGGCCCACATATCCCCCTTTCCAGTCTCCCCAATCTGCGAATCCCCTACAATCCTCATATTCCCAAATCTTAAAAAGGCAGGTAACGCACTTGTAACGCCTCTGGTGTTTCAAGTGTCAATGGGCGACGCCGATTGCTTACCATCAGGTGACCGTCTGCTTGTGTACCGGCTTATCCTATAATGCTTATTTTAGACATATAAATTGTTTTATTTTATTTTTAAACGATTATTTATTGGTTTTTGTTGTTGGTAGGTAATACATGGAATTGTGGGATAGAATGTACTGCTTGGATGAGACGAGCGTGCGAAGGAAGTCTATGTGCACTATGAAAAAGATTTAAAAGAATCGATGAGTATCTTAAATTTCTTGAGTCAATTATTTTTCTAGAACGACACACTGTCTATTCAAACACAAAACAACCAATGATTACAACAAATTACGTAAAAAGCAATAAGAATAGTAAGTTTTACTAACAAAAGTGAAACTGCTCCGGTTGAGCAAAATATGTGCGTACATCTTCATTATGCAATAGGGGTGGGACATCGCGAATGCGGTGCGCGCACGCATTTGCATCGCCCGCCGCCATGTCCGGATTGTGAAATTGCTGTTTCACTTCCGTTCCTATAACGTTTGGCTATAAATCTACAATATTGGTGTCATTTAATGACCCGGGACCTGTTGCTGTGACATTTAATGGGTCTTCAATGGCCTATTGGCTATTAAACTTGCCTTTCTAGGTTAGACGGTAGTAGCGTCCAATGCGTTTGATTGTTCATTAACCAAATAAATTATGATGAATGTCTGACCAGGGTTGCTGGTACATTTAAGAAGAGGTTTTTACCAACATGTGTTATATTTTATTAGAACTTTGAACTTGTATTGTATTTCAGATGCTGTGATTCTTAAAAGAAGTGCAGTAGACGGACAATTTATAATTATGACAGAATGATATACTATTATTTAAGTCTGATCGATTGTTGGCATACAATTTTAATTTAGTAATAGTTGAATAATGTAAGAAACGATATCTGCAAATTTTTCACAAATATTTTAGTTATTTTGAATTCCTGAACAATTCTATTAATTTTCCCTTAGCGGCCTTCCCTATACATCACATCATTATATTTGATTAAATTATTTAAATTGTATTAAAAATATTAAAATCATGAACAATCTTCAGCACGTTAAACACCTTTAAATTAAGTGGCTGCAACAAAAAGCATACAACTCTTGAAACATTGGTATGACGATTGTATTTACATTTACATTCTACAGACTATTTTCAGAATCAGTTTGAGGTTTAATTGCTACTAATTATAGATAATAATGTACGAAACGTGAAAATTAATACAGTCTTAACATGTTATCACATTATCTAGTACTATTTAAAATAAGAAAGTAAACAGTTTTTGCCCGTATTAGGTAACACTCATACACATAACACTTTACACTCACAAACACTGCACTCGTGACAAACATACAAACAGACCCGAAACCATAATCTACTTCTACATACAAATAGACAAATTAACCTTTACCATCAGAATACTTAAACTCGTTCAATTTTCAACCTTATTGCGTTGATATACTGAAAATAATAGACTATCGTAAAGAATATAGGTTTGTCAGGAGCATTCGATAAGGTGTACATACTATAAGGACCTAAAAATAGTTGAGTTATGGTTTTGAATCCGTGCTAATGTGTGCCCAGTGGGTCAGCAGGGTAAGCCAGGTATGCCGTGTGGTGGCCAGGCGCATCCTGCGTGAGGATCGTGCATTATAATGAGGAGTGCCTCAGGGCTCCCATCTGGGCCTCCCTAATTATGTCAGTGAATCAGTTTTGTCGGTATTTCTTATTATTATTGTTGTTATAATTTAATTCGGATTTTTGAACCCAGGTAGTGCAATCTAGATATAGATCCCAAATGACTGTAGCATAACTTTTGAAAGTTATTCTTTCGCTTGCTATTTTCTTCTGAAAAGGAGAATATTTGTCTTAATGTAGAAACCAAGAATTTTCTTAGTATTTGTTGTATGATACAGATGTAATTCATTGACAAGGATAATATTCAATGATGATGAAGTTTCAAAAACTTAATTTTTCCTTACTGTTACTTTAGTGTGTAGACATTCCAAAGCTCTCTTAGTAATTGTAATAAGTCATTGATAGTCGTTCCCCCAGTCGGTCTGCCGTCATCTCCTACTATAGCAACTAAGTATCTAATCAGGTGCTTTAAATACACATTTAGTATGAGTGTTAGCTGCCATTTAAATAGAAGAACATTCTGACCTGCTATTTACGATACCTAAGAGTTTAAAAATGGGACGTACGCACATGCATCACTACGAACCTCCTCGTTTTAGCGAAGTCGGTTACAAATAGTATGTATTAATTATACTTATAATTCAAGTACCGTGATTTATCTGTTTTCAAAGACTATTATTTTCTTAGTAGAATGTCATTTCCAAGATCAATACAAGTAAGTTGACTGGAGTGGCTGTGGTAGTTGCTGTGGCAGCGGCTGGACAACGGGCTGCAAAAATTAAGTGTTAAAGCTCCTTACTCTCATCTCAAAGACAAATACAGTGCCGTTCAAAGTTTAATATCCTACAATAAATTATTTTAATTTCATTGATTTTGTTTGAGGCATGACTACTGAGCAATAGATATTCTCGAGTAGGGAAAATAACTATAGAGATTTGTCACCTGTGTTTTTATAATAACTATACGTTACGTTACTCACATGAATATACTGAGAAAAGCTCTACAAGTTTCGAACCACAGAGGGGTTCCTCTTCATGAGCAGCGTGCGCGGTCGCGGCGATTTCGCGCAGCGTTTTTTCAGTATATTCACGTGAGTAACCCGCCATTTTTAATTAATTTAGATTTGTCACCTCTTCGAATATTCTAGTACCTGATAAATAGTCAGAATAGTAGACGTTCGAAACCATATGGAGAACAAATTGCGTGATTATGTTATCCCACGATCTAAATTCATGTATAAATTACTTAAAACTTATAATTTGAACCATACATCAATGTAAGTGTCTAAATACAAATAAACCATTCAACTACCGAATTAAATCCGTCATCGGATCTAAGTAAATCGCGGCACGTGGTGCCTGTAGTATCTCCTACGTGATCTCCATGGACAATGCGCAGGAGTGTTGGTAGAAAGCGATTGGCACTTGCATGGAAAACTAATGTGTTTTCAAATGCCATCTCGTATCGAATTTTCTTCCTTTTTAAAGAAAGTGTTATATTTGTCCTTATTTCATTTACCTACATAGTTTAAATTGTTTCGTTCATCGTGTGTGGTGTTAGTTTATGGTGATATTTATTTTTTAACAGGTGCTTAAAATGTGTTTGTCCTATTTCTCTATTCTATGGGATACGTTCATTGATTAGTGTGTTTTTAGTACTACAAATAATGCTTGAATTAGTGTTTTATTGTCGTTGATAAGTGCTACAAACTACAAATATAAGTTGATGTCTATTTACTATTGAATGATTCGTATAGCTAGGAAATTACTTTGAAAATTTTATTTTATACTGTTTTGTTTGGTGTAATTTCATACGCTATTCCATTCAGTAGTGTTCATTTAAAATAGAATTGATAGCATCATTTCAGTTGTAATTTTATTTCTCTAAGAATTCTACAATATCAGGTAAATTAATTAAATAGGACTTCTGAAATCTTTATTGAACTTATTCACGAAAAGGGTGGCAAATGAAATAATAATGTAATTCTTCAATGATTTATTATCAATATAAATAAATAACATCAGTCATACATCACAATCACACGCTCTCAAGCACAATATTTTAATAAATAAGTTGCATTACATAGTATTTACACGGTCTCGATTTCTCGACGAAATCATTTTATTTGGTCTATGTTATCTGTGCCCATCTATCAGCTGTTCGATCACAGCGCAATAAATAGGGTTCGGATACAGGTCGTTGGGATGGGGTGGCGTTCGGATATCTTAGTGGTAAGCGTTGTAGGCGAGTTCCTGGGCCAATTCTTGGGGCTCAGCGTCTCTCCTGCGGCGGGTGGCGGCGTACGCGGCGTCCCAGGGACCGTGGGCAGCGATCTGGGGGTGCGAGTTGTCCGCCGCAATCTGGGTAAACTACAATGTTAGGCTTATGGATAGTAAAGTTGCGATAGACTGTTAGTACGCAAAACAACACGTCACTTAACTAAGTTAAGCTCAGCGTCAGTTAGAAATGTAAAGTTAATCGTGCTCATTAGTTCAAATGGTGCCAATAGATCTCGAATATTGTGCCAGGTGCAAACTTTTTCGAAAGTGCTGTGCTTTTCAAAACAAGACAGTGCATTTTTAAAGATTTTGTGGTAACTAATGAGTGAACTTTACTTGGTCTAATTCACTGTGGATATCAACTCACCTTTTTGCAAAGCTGGAAGATGGCCAGTGCGACGGAAACCACGAAGGAGAAGAAGGACAGCTGCAGAGCGTTCCAGGCCTTCAGACCGAGGACACCAATAGCGAGAGGGATGAGGGTCATAGCCTTGAGGAGGATGAATACCAGGATGGGGACGATGATCTTCTTGAGCTTAGCCTTGCGGGCCTCTCCGACGGCGCGAGCACCCTCCTTGTTGAACTTAACGTTCAGGGATAGCTCATCATTGTCAAGGTTCCTGGGGCTCACAGTGATCTGGGTGTCGACGATTGGCAGCTTGAAGGTAACATCGTGGGACTGGATGAAGTTCTCAATGCTGTCCAAGAAATCGCCATTAGAGCGAGCACTGACATCGTTGGCTGCACCATTCTTCGTCACCTCAACAGCGTCGGAGATCTGAAGAGAAAACGATTAAACATGTTAAACTTTCGATTATTTGGAAAGTGGCATCTTGGAATTATTTTCGTGAAATCGATGTCGGATACCTGGAAGGTGTCCTTCTTGAAAATGGAGTCCAATAACGACATGACCTTGTATTTGATGCAGGCAGTGGGGTCAGATCCTTCAGCGCAGCCAGATCTCATCTCCTCCACCATGCCGTCCATGGGGGTGCCCTTCCAGAAGGCATCCTTGGCAGGCTGGGCAGCTGCGCTCCCGAATAGGGCCAGGGCCAACAAGCACACTACTTTACTGGACACCATTTTGCTGTGCTCCTCGTGTTGTACACTGAACGGTGGTTGGATTGATTGTGATAGTTTCGACAAGGACCCAGCTGTTTTTATACAGCTATTTCAAATTCAGCACATAGTGTGCAGTTCCGGTAGGCATTGTGTTCCAACGTACGAGCGCGCGTGCACATGCGACCTTCTGGCACGGAGGGGACCCAAGTGTAAGGGAAAGCTATCTGATACGAATCCTCCTCAAGATATGGAAGACAAAACGTCCTAAGTCGTATCATTGTCAGTCGCTTATCGTCCGTTTTAGAATCATTGTCGTTTGTATGAAGCGCCTTTTCTGTTGTTTGTGACACCGTACCCTGATTTGGTGGCTCATGATCCAGTTCATGTGTTTCTTTTTGTCTTATGGCTGGTGTGGTGAGTGTGAGCGAGAGAGGTGATTGTTCAAGTAGTGAGGTGTTTGATATGGAGGAGCAGATGCGCGCACGCGCGTCTTTGCATACGTAATAGTGTTTAAGTTGATATCATTGAACTTGTCCGTCTAGGAGATAATGACATTGTTGGTCCTCGGATCAGCTGTTTGTGGCTGAGTGGCAAGGTAGATGACCTGAAATATTATAATCTTGTACTTTTGTGCCTAGTTAGACTTGAAAGCTCTGTAAGCACTCATGTCTACTTGGTCTCGTCACTCGTTGTCATGCAGAATTGGTATTTGACTTTGAAAGTGAAATTCTATAAAAAGTGAAATGCTCTTGTTTTGGTGGTCTTCTCCAGCTGTTAGATATTTTGATTATGCTAAGCTTGTAACATCAAATATTTTTCGTTATTAGCATTGTGACAAATCTGAATGTCTCATGTATTACTCTGTGGAGAAGACTGAGGAGTAAATACAGGGTGGTAGTTGCAGCCAAATATTTCGATTGTTAGCGAATTATTTGGCTAGATGATGTGACGTACTTGCTCAGTAGAAAATAACTATAAAATTTGAAATGTAATTTTTAGAATTACATTCAATAATTAATTTTCATAGTCCACAAAGTTTGGTTGCTTTCGGCTATCTTGCTACGTAGGTATACTAGCCATTCAAAAAGCTAAATTACTAGTCCTTTTGTCCTAACTACATACAAATAGTCTGGCTGCCTGCAACTGCAGAAAATTATGAAAATTGAATCTCAAAAATATTTTTCACACCTATGAGTCGCCCTATAACGCGGTCAGATGAACCGCTTCGTTACATATGTAGGTATGTGACGTCCTGTGTCTTATGTTACGTGAGTCACACGGATTTCAACGGCTTAGGTCTAACACCGGTGACGTGATGTCCAGACGTAGTGGCATCAGTCGTTTTATTAACAAACTGCGTTTTGATGATTGACTGCATGACTTGCGTTTCGCCAGTTACGTGCTTATGATTCCTATGGACTTCCTGAACTCAAAATTTCGTGGTACCATAATGACTGCCTCGTTGGCCGAGTGGTCGCAAGTGCTGCCGGGCAAGGGGTCTCGGGTTCGATTCCCGGGTCGAGCAAAGTATTACTGGGTTTTAAAAAAAATCTCAGTAGTAGCACGGAGTCTGTAATTGTGCCCGGTATATGGCAATAGGCTCACCCCCTATTACATGGTACTCATAACATAAATAGTGAAAAGTGGGTGTGACATTTTACAGTGGCATAATGTGCACCTCTGCCTACCCATTCGGAGATAAAAGGCGTGATGTTATGCGTAATGACACGTTTTTTAATCCCGAAAGAGATAGGTAGCGGCACAATGTAACGCCTGTTTTTCACAAGTGATGTTTTGAGCCCTGTGTACCTAATACAGGCTGAGCCTATTGCCTTATACCAGACACAATTCGATACTCTGTGCACCCACTTAGAAATTTTAAAATGACCACATTAACACCAGATGATGATGATAATGATTATGATCTAAGAAAACTATCCATTTTTTTATTTTACTAATGGCAGCAATAAAACCCACTTTATGATAATCGAATACCGTTGTTAAAGTACTGTTGCAAAAATGTTAAAGACCATTCAGAAAAATATTTAATTGTCCCTCAAAATGATGTCGTTGTAAAAAGTATGGGTGAGGCAACTTCGGCACGAATGGGCCGGCTGGACCGGAGGCATACCACGTCCTCACAAAAAAACCGACGTGAAACAACGCTTGCGTTGTGTTTCCTCGTGTAAGTGAGGTTATCGGAGGCCCAATCACCCAATCCCTGAATCCTCATCAATTTTCAAATGCCTGATCCCCAAAATGCCGGTAATACACTTGTAACGCCTCTGGTGTTTCAGGTCCATGGGCGACGCCGACTACTTACCAACAGGTCATTCGTCTGTTCGTTTACCTTGTCATCCTATAAAAAGGTGATTGTAAAGCCTCATTTCAATTGAAATCAAAATAGTACAACTCCATAAACCAATAAAAAATGTAGCAAACGTAAATTCTATAAGTGACACAAATACTTAGCAACAAGTTAACGGGTGATATCCAATTATTATTGATCCGGCGTTGTGTGGCAACACTGAATACCAATGGGGTTACCATTTTCGTCCCATAGTTCCGCCTGGTGAAAGTGATACGAAACTATTAATTTATTATTAATGAGTTACAAAAAATTTCATGTGATGAAATTCTGTGCGTTTAAAACAGGCTGATTTTCAAATAGTTTCGTAGTCTATGGTTGTATTTGGTAGGCTATTGTTGTTGCTGGTTCATGGATGAAGTGCTCGTAACATAAGTACGACTGCGAATCTCTGGTCCGATTCTCGGGTGGAGCAAAAAAGAATGACAATTCCGGACTCACTGTTATTACTAGGATTTTTTTTAAATCGACATGCATACTTATATACCCGTGGGGGTGTAGGTGGAGACTATGGAACGATTTTTACGTACCCTAAAATTATCTTATAATTTTGTCGAACCCTGGAAACGAACTCACTGGCGACCACATAACAACCGTAGCAGTGATTTGACAATCGTATGGACACAAGTATTCCTACCACGACCATGATAACATCTAAATGTCCTAGGTATGCGATGCATTGCAATCTCCTATAGATAGGCGATAGATAATTTGTGTAAATAGCTTTAGTAGATGGTACTTTGTTGGATATTTAAGCACTTATGCTGTGTGTCATATTACATAGAATACTTATATTAATTTCGTACCACTACCCTTATACCGAGACACCCTATATAACCTATACCATTGAACTACACCAGTACATATTTTAGTCGAGTAGCGAATATTTAGTAACTCTCTTTGCTCAGAGATCTTCTAAATACTCGGTACTCGATTTCGTTTCCAGTGTTGGACACTGCATAACATAACATCACGCCTTTTATCCCCGAAGGGGTAGGCAGAGGTGCACATTATTGCACTTAATGCCACTGTACCATGTAATACCCGTTTTTCAGTATTTTATGTTATGAGTCCCATTTAATAAGGGGTGAGCCTATTGCCATATATCGGGCACAATTCCAGACTCCGTGCTACTATTGAGATTTTTTTTAAAACCTAGTAATACTTTGCCCGACCCGGGAATCGAACCCGAGACCGCCAACCCGGAAGCCGCACTTGCGACCACTCAGCCAACGAGACAGTCGCATTTGGACAATGCATTAAAAGGTAATTTTGGGGTATGTCAGCATCGTAGCATGGGTCTCCCGAGACTGAGGTTGTGTTAGTATGGATGTATATAAGGAAAATTAAAGTGATTTGCAAGTGTGAACGACCTCCACGTTATTTTATTTCTTCACCTAAGTATAATTTATTCAGTCTACTCGGTGAACATCGTCTGCTATTGACATTCATATTGGCGGCGTTGTGTTATGACATAATAAAAATAATTCTTACCGTCGTCTTACTACTGTGTAGGAAGTTTGGCATGTCGTTTGCATTTTATAAATACATGCACAGTACACGCTATTAAGCATTTTCATTTAACCTGCTTTAAAACATTGACGTAGGTCCTTTCATGCCGCGGAGCACCTAACGGGTTACCGGGTCTCCGGCTCGAAGTGCAGGAGAAGGAACGGGGTGGTTTTTAGTCAGTAAGAGTTTGATACTCCCTTCCGCCTCACCCAGGCGGGAGCAGTCATTCGATGATTTTACCCCCTTAAAAAAAACCTAATAAGGGACTAGGCGGTCTTTTGGAAACATACAGATTCCTACAGAAGATGGTGAACATGCCATTAATGAAGTAAGCTCTTCTAGGTATGTAGACTAGATAGTGCATTTAATTGTATAATAATTGTAGGTCGCTTATCCTAAAATGGAAACATGTTATGCGAGTTTAAATCATTAATGCAATGACTCACTTTGATAATATTCCGCCTCTAAAACCGCAGTGAAGAGCATACCTCCCAAAAAATCCTTAGACAAACATCAAGTAATCCATTAAAACAGAACCGTTATCATCTCAGACGTTTGCTAAAACGTAGTAATGTCAACATTACAATGCAAACTGCATTAAGACCCACGCTAGCCAATCAATACTGCTTATAATAAATTCATTGCCACGCCTAGGAAGCGCTGACAAACCAAAAGTAAGGAGCGAAGCCCACACTTGGAGCGCCGGCCGCGGTGAGGCACGCCGTACCAACACAATGTGACCGCTCGCTTAGTGCCATGCTCGTCATCAAACTGGACACAAGCGTTTGTGAGAAAATCCAGTTCAGTGATACGAATTTTCATCGCCATATTTATCAACACGCCTTATATAGACACACCAGACATGTCTAAGCTGACCGTGACGAATTTCACAAAGCGAACTGGAAGCCCGTTCCAGAAAGCCAAAGAGACTCAGGAGGATATCAAAATAGTGCACGAGGAAGTCATTGAGAAGAGTACTTTTGAAAAACAGAAAGAGAAGCAGAATGAATTGATACAGAAAGTGACGAAGAAGACAGCGGAGTACCAGTCAAACAAACCAAGTTCTGGCGTGTTTACTGAAGTGGTTTCCCATGGTGCCTTTACTTCAAAGAACAGGAATACAAACACTACGGCTAATGCTACACCGATAACTAAAAGTCCAACACCACCAAAGTCAAACGGATCAAATGGCTCCAAATCCTTGCTTGGGTTTCCATCATCAGCTAACGACTTAGCTCTAGACGCAAAAACGGATCTAGAATCAGACCCAAACATATCAAAAGCGGTGAAGGACAAAGTAATAGAGAAACTATTTGCCCTCGTCTCGATGGTACAACACACGTACGAGTCTAAAGTGAGAATAATGACAGAATTCGAGAAGTACAAGGATACACACACGAAGAATGAAATAAGAAGAGAGAAGGAACATTCAGAACAATTGTACAAGCTTAACATGAATTTCCAAAACGAAGTCGTTCAAGCGATACAGAGATTGAAGAGCGAATTGGATATAACAAGAAATGTGAGTGAAAACATTGAAGATAGTACTAGGAGTGGTGATTTGAAAGATACTTCAGATTTTAATGTTTCTGAGGTCCAAGATTCTGATTTAAATGAGCAAGGTGAGGATACAGTGGACCTGACACTGGATTCGAGTAACGATCGAGTTGAAAGTGAGAATAACGACAGTGATGCACTTAAGAATGAGTAATCTAAGAATGTACGTACAAGAATTATTAATAATAA